AAAAAAAATCAACCATTTCTAACTCATGAGTTTATTTATTGTTAAATATTTAGGAAAATGAGTGGCTGATGGTCTTTTCTTAACCTTGAAATTGTCTCTAAAGTAAAGAACTTGGCAGTGGCCAATGGTTGGGAGTGGGGAAGGGCGAAAACAAGAGGAAATGATGGATTCCTACATAATTATGGAGATTAGGGCCTGGGCCCTAGGAACTCTTGCATCTACCTTCTGAAGTGGTTGAGCAAGTACAAAATTTTCATGGGGGGATTCTTTGTAGCTATTGACACCCCTCTGGTCAGTAAGCAGGGAATTGCTCTTTTCTACCATCTTAATCTTCCACTCGCAGAAGACTGTGTGAAGGTGCTTTGGAGAAACAGTTTCAGTGCCCTGATAGCTTTATGAACTGAAAGTGATAAGAGGAGGGAACAAGAGGCTCTGCCCATATGAAGTGAGATTAGGAATGACGCTTGTCAATAGAATGAGAACTCTGTGATGTTTTAACATAGCTCCTTCAGTTACCCAGATTTGAGCATCTGTTGTCCTTCAATGCCTAGCTTGCCTTCTATGAGGAGGGATGATAAGAAGTATATTCACTTAGAGACAAAAGTCTGTGAAGCCATTGATTTGAAGACATGTGGGCAAGTTATAGGCCCACATTAAGAAAAGCTGTTCCAAATTTAAGATCCGGCAAGTTCCTTCTTTTTATCCCCAGGCCAAAGTTCTTTTTCTGACCAACAGTATGGTAAAATTTCCCTGACAGCGAGTCTTTAGCTGTTTGATCACTTTCCTGCTTAAATCTGAGACACCCCCACAAGATCACAGGAGAGAAATTCTGGATGTATCCATCCGGTGCACCAGTGAAGCAGCTTTTCACCGTTCCAGGCTCATTTCCTGCCTCTTCTATGAGCCATACAAGTTTAGAAGCCCTAAGCTGCTGAGTAGCATTTTCTCAGCTATTTAACCTTTTCATGGCTTTCCGCATGCAATTTTCTGTTAAAAGTCTATTTACTCCCTCAACCCCACTACCTTGGTCAAACCCATTAATTTCGTCCAAGTCAAGCTTGAGAAATCTTTTTTGATTTGCAAACCTGATCTAGGAATCCCTGTTCTAAGTTCTGGTAGCATCTGAACTGCATTTTTGTTCTCACACAGTTACCACACTATGTACTGTTTTAACGTGTCTATCCTCCTGGGCTATAACTTCCTTAATCTCAGGTACCACCATTATGGGTCCCACTATCTGAAAGAGTTGGCCTATAAATGGATGTTGCATGGAGTGAGGGAGGGAGGGAAGGAAGCAAGGCACTTTTAAAATAAGTTCTGATGATTCCAGAGGTCCTCAAATGCCTCATCAGAATTTTAAGACAGGGATTTTGAAAACTACAATAAGGGATCGTGATACAGACAGTGGTAGAGTAGAGTAATGGCTCAGTATGCATAATGCCCTGGGTTTG